CACGGGGCAGGGCTGCAGCTCTGGGGGCTGCATGCACAATGCTCTAGAAAACCTCAGCATCTTCACTGCAGTTTTACAGAGCAAACATTTTGCCCTGGAAGAGGAAGGAGAAGGGAAAGCGAGAACAAAACCCACGAGCTGTGTTTTTCTGCTTTGCAACCAGCCTTAACTTTTATATGTAGTCCCAGCTTGAAACACCATTACAGCCACCTCCCCCGGGGCACAGGCATCACTTCCAAGCTGTCTGGAATCCGCAGGAACTCTTTTTTCCCTGATCATTTGAAAGCTTTCCTAATGCTTTGGTGGGAATTTGGTTTCCAGCTGCAGAGCTGTTGTTCAAGTGGTGCCAATGGGACGGCCCTGAGATCCCACAGGCTGGGCTGATGTGTCCTGAGGTTTGGGCTGGAACTGACTGTGTGTTTTGGCCCTGCTCATTTCAGTGTTATTGCAAGAAACCACGCTTAGAGCTGTTACTTCCCCATGTGATCTGAACTGAAACAAAAAATAATACAGAGACTGAAGGTCAAAGCCCAACCAATCTGATTTTGCAGAACTTTTCAGAGCACTGAAGGGAAAAGAGCTCTCTGCCCCCAGAGCAGAGATGGAGCAGCCCTGGGCTCTGTGCTGCAGCACAGTCCTCACCACCTCCCTGCAAAGCACTCAGAGCCCATCCAGCAGCTCATCGCCTGCTCTCTCTTCCTGCAAACTTCATAATAATAAAGTGATACTCCACACCGTATCCCTTTTTCCATTTCACCCTTCACTGGATCATTTTATGCATCTATTCCCATTGCTAATTCAAACTAATTAAAGTATAAAGTAGAATAATTTGTGCCATTTCAGAGCTCCTCTCACCATATTGTGAGTTATGTTTCTTTTCTATTCGTGCCCGGTGTGAACCGTTCCCCTCCTCACCAGACTCGCTGCTGGGGGGATGGCCACAGCAGCACAGGGAGGGGGAGACTTTTAAACAGCTCTGATAGAGAGACAGAGGAACACAGAGCTCTGGCTGTGTCCCTGAGCACCCTCAGCCCTGCTGGGGTCATCTGAGACCAAAGGGGGCAAAACCCCCCATAGCTCAGCATGGCATTGCTTCAGCTTGTCCATCATGCATCAGAAATCCCAGCTTGCTTTGGTGGGGGGCTCTGACATTGCACCCATAGGTCACCCCTCAGTGCTGCAGCACAAAGCCAGGAGGATGCACAGGGGGGAGGCACAGCAATGCAATGCCCCGTGGAACCCCAGCAGCAAGCAGACCTGGTGCACATGGTGTCAGAGCAGCTGCTCTGCACTGCAGCTGTCCCGTGCACACCAGTGCTCTGAGCAGGGGATCAGTGTGGGTGTACGTGCATGCAGGGAAATTCTGGAAGGATTTCAGGACTGCGGTTGCCTGTCTGAAAATTAAACAATAGGTCTGTGGATGGGGAGGAATAGCAAAGGGAAGGACATACATGGGAACCCTGTGGCTGTGACTGGCAGGGGAAAAAATAGACTTAATACAAAGTAAAACCAACCCAAAACAAACAAACCCTGCAAGCAAACCTCGCAAGCACTTGAAAGAAATAGCCGTGTGAGCAGCGTCTAAAACACATCCCATTACCAAAACAAACCCAGCGACCCCTGACGCTGAGTTTTCACACGGGGGTGGTTTCTTACTGCTCCTTGCAGGGAAGTTTACTTTTCAACTATGTGTTACTTCAAAGCTGTCTGCCCTTTGCTCTGCGCCCTCGGAGTCCTGGTGGCTGCCCGTACATCCCAGCAGCTCTGCAGGATGTCCCTGAGCCTCAGAGCCCCAAACACTGCAGCCTTTTGGTCAATTGGCATTCATTAGCACATCCTCCTTATCACATGGATATGGTTAATGATCCCAGACAAGCTTGTACCTACATTTCTTAATTATTGCTAATTGACCACAGGGAGGGAAGTAGAATAAGCCCTGCATGGCTGCAGGAGTGTGGGACACACAGGTGCTGCAGCACAGCCCTGCCCTCTGCAATGATGCTCAGCTCAGTGGTTGTCTGACCAGCAGACAAGGCAGTTAAAAATTTAATCCATCCTTTTTTTTTCTTTTCTTTTGTCCTTCTTGATGAATCCATCCCCTTTTATCCACATCTCTTGCATTTTTTATCGTGTTTTCTCACTCTTTTTTCTGGACACCATCAGTATTTACAGCATCTCTACCCCAGAATTGATGGAGCTCTTTGTTTTCCTCACTCTGATTCCAAACTCTTTTAAATTACCCTGGCAGCGCCCTTCCCTCCATCAGCACCCAGAAAGCTCAGCCCAACACAACACCCTTTGCTCAGGAGTTACGCAGCACGGGGTCACAGGACAAGGAATGGTGAAACAAGTCATCCCCAGTGGCTCCTGCAGCTCTGCAGCTCCTGACACGGGGGCATTTGCTAAGCAAATATTTCACTGCTAGCAGAGCAGACGGAGAGACAGCTTTTCCCTACAGTCATGGGGATGTACAGGCAGGAGGGAGGGCTGCAGGGTGCTGCTGTAAGGCTCAGCACGCAGGGGCCAGCTGCAGGCACACAGGTCTGTAAGGCCCTCCTGCTTCACATGGGGCAGCCCCATGCAGTCTCACTGATGCTCCAGCAGCATCTTGTGATGCTCGAGCCCTGGCAGCTTATGGACTGGACCGTGTTTGATTGCTGAAGCAATGAAACACTAAGAAATGCCTGTCTCCTTTAAATAGTCAGGGTCAGAATCACTTCTCTTCTGCCATGAAAGGAATTTGAAGCCAGGTGCTTCAAGAGAGCCTGTGAAAGCTCCTAATGAGCGCTCCTAAATCATGTGGCTGGAGAACTGGTGCTGAGGATGGAAGCAAAGTTTCTTTCTCCTCCTCTCCCCCGGGACCAGACTGTGCAACTGTTGCTTCTGTGCTTTGTGGGAGTGAAATCAAATGTCAAATATTCTGATTTGGAAGGAGTTGGCAGTGGAACATGAAAGGCTCACAGAGAGCTCCAAAGGACTGCAGATAAATTGGAGAGAAGCAGACAGGGCTGGGACGGGAGCCAGGGGGAGTGGGGAAGGACTGAGCTCCAGATTTTGGGATGAAGCAAATGCTTCCCCTCCACATTCAGCACAGAGCCGCTCAGAGCATGGAGGGAGATGTCACAGAAGTGAAATGGATGTGCTGGAAGCACCTGTGTGCACATCACAGCTCGCCGTGCGCTCTGAGCACAACCACAGTGCGAGGCAGAACGCAGCACCCATGCAATGGTTTGCTCCCCACCCCGCAGCAGCACGGAGCTCAGGACTGCTCCCAGTCTGTGCCATGGGAGCACATCTCCTTGCTGAATCCCACAGAAATGCAGTGTTTATCGGATCAGTTTTGCCATAGGCTCGTATCCTATTTCTTTCTTAGAAACCACAGACTGTGGGCAGCCCTCCCCAGCTCACGCTCAGCACAGCTGCTCCGGTGCCACTTCACTGTGGCAGAATTCCATCTTATTCCAGATCTTCAGACTGCAGAATACATTTGAGCTGTGCATTCTCAGTACTTCCAAGGGCACATCTCACCGCTCACAGCCTCAGCTTGGGCCTCTCTCCTCCTCGTGGTACCGACTCTGCAGCCATCAGGCTCCAACCAAAGCACTCCTGAAGAAAAGAAAACCATCTCCCCCTCTATTTTGCTGAGCATTGCCAGAACTGGGGCAGTGGGGTTCAGTGGGGCTGACAACATCCACACTGTGTCAGCATGGGGGCTCCTGGGGCCATGGCACACACACACCCCCAGGGGGCAGAGGGCAGCTCCAGGGGGTGAGGGCTGTGCATGGAATCAGCATTCCAGGAGCACTCCATTTTTGCTAATTCTCCTCACATCTTTTTGTTACACAATTAAGCTCATCAGCTCCCTGTGTCTCTCCTGCAGCAGGTGGAGGTCTCCGCACACCAGGCGTGCAAAGCTGGCTGTTAACTCACAGGGTTAACTCAAGGCAACGCCACTTAATGGCATCCAGACATCCTCAGATGTAACCCTCCTCCTGTCTCCACCACCCACGAGGCACCAGCTCTATAAATCTGAATTACACAGTGGTGAGTAACAGCCAATAAAACGCTCAGCAGTCAGTGAACCCAAAAGTCTGGCTCAGCGCACGGGACTTCTGGTGTTGTTTTTGTCTCAGAGAACGGTGCAGATGAGATGTGCTCCAGCTGAGGTCCTGCCTTATTTACACCATTCTGGATTCCCAAAGCTGCAGGCTCCCGTGAGCTGCTGGCCATAAATTTCCACTCGAATCTTTTTGGTTTGGCTTTCTACAGCCTTTGGGTTTGGCAACCTCCAACTCACACCACCCCTATCTTAAGAGCTTTGTAATCACTAAAGATATGCTCCACTTAATATCACGGTATAATATTGGAAGATAAAACTTGTTTATGACCACACAGAGCCAAGAAAGGATGTTGGCTTCTACAGGTGGGGGTAGTAGCATGGTGATGGTGGCATGGTGATGGTGGCATAGTGATGGTGACATGGCAATGGTGGCAAGGTGATGGTGGCAAGGTGATGGTGGCAAGGTGATGGTGACATGGTAATGGTGACATGGCAATGGTGACATGGCAGTGGTGGCACAGCAGTGGTGGCACAGCACAAGCTCAGCGCTACCTGCATAGCAGCTGCTTGCACCACACTCAGTCCCACCTCTGTGCTCACCTTTCTCCCCAACACTTAAAATATACGGGTAGATCAAAAAATAAAGCCATCATAAAGGATGCTCAGATAAAGCTACGCAAAACTGCAGCCTGCCAAGCTCACTGCAGGGAGCAGGCAGCCACGCCAGCAGCTCAGGAGCTCATTATCCGATCATCGATGGTTCCCATCCCCAAACCACATTTCCCCTGCAGCAGCCCAGCTCAGTTTCCAATACTTGCAGACAGCAATAAACCAGCAGAATGCCATCCTCCATGTGCACAGAGGACAAGCTCTGGGCAGAGGCAGCTGAAGCTGAGCTCTGCAGTGGGGCTCACACAGCTCAGCCCCTGGGGGTCCTTACCTGCCGCTCCGACATCACGTACAGGTACTTGTGGTCAATGGAGAAAGCCATGTCCCGGAGCACCGGGCTCCCGTCCTTGAAAACTGTCACCACCTCGTACTGAATTCCACCATGGGGAGGGCCATCTGCTCGGATCTGGAAGAAGCACAACCACATTGCAGGTGATTTCACGGCAGCCAAATGCAGATTTTACTTCAGGGGGTGGAGGGGAAGGGGAAGAGGACAAAATGAGGAAAAGGATCTCATTCCAACCCTCAGCTTGGGACCTGGAGGCAGAACGAGGAGCTGGCAAGCAGAGTGCACGCAGGAGTCAGAGCAGAGGCTCTTTCTCCACGGGATCTGAAGTCATTTCTCCATCGCAAGAGAATGAAGGAGCAAGCTCTGTGCTGCGAGGTGAGCGCACAGATCACCCATGTGCCACGACTGCAGTCACCAAATGCAACTGCAAGTCAGCTCCTGAGCCGGAGCATTCCACAGCCTGATCAGATTACTGCAGAGATGGTTCCTCTCCAGATGCATGAGGAACAAGACTTAGACAACCGCCACAGAAGCCTCCTAAGACACCACCTCTGCCCAACCCCAGGCAGATGTCACTGCCATGCTGTTCCTCCCGAGCAAGCAGAGTGCTAACACAGCCATACAGCTGCTCAGCCCCACAGCTGCAGGTCCCACACCCCCAGCAGCCAGCTCCATGCCTGCAGAGCTCTGCCCACGCTGTGACAATCCCCAGCGCCGCCAGGAACGTGCCGTCTCCTCCAGAAGTTAATAATTGATGGCCTTGGGGGCTGCACGAGGGGAGAGGGAGGAGGAGAAACAAACAGTTTACATTGTCTTTCCTACCAGGATTTGCATATTTGAAAAGCCCTTGGATTGCAACACGGTGCAGGCAGGGCTGCTGATGCTGGCTGTGTGCCACGTGCCGGGCCGGTGCCATGCGGTGACCCCGAGGCTGCAGAGCTGGGAGGGGGCTGCTGGGACTGCTAAAGGCAGAGCCTGATGTCACAGAGGTGCCACTCCAGCAGGAAACGTAGTAATATCCTCACACACACACACACAGGTGCTCCACTGAACCCCTGCTCTAAATAAACCCTCTTCTAGGAAGCACTGCTGATGCCTGTCGACACACAGAGACACGGGGTATGCAGCTGGGTTTGGTTTCTGCATTTCTTTCCTCCTTCCTTACCTGATTTTTCTATGACATAAAAGAAGGGCAGGGGAATGTGAGCAAAGGGAGAGCTGGCTTGGCACCCATGACACCTTTGACTCAAAAGCCCTGAGAACACAGACAGCAAAATCCAAATAAAGAGGGTCACATCCTGCTTTAGTTGCACGTGTGCCAATGGGGACACCTCAATCCCTTCCGGAGCTGCTGGGAACCAGAGGTGGTTTGGACCTGCAAACCCCACTGGGGCACCACCACAATCCTGCACCAGCCCAGGGACACAGGGACAATGCCATGAAGTCACCTGAGGAACAAACAGCACTGCCAGACACAGTCACAGAACCACAGAATTGCCAGGGTTGGAAGGGACCTCAAGGATCAGTCGCTTCCATGCAAACTCCTGATTAGCAGCCAGATGGGAATGGAAGCTGCGGACACAAAGGATCTGCAACCTTTGTACAAAACAACTGTTTTCCAGCGCTCCCTCGGGGGCACCGGCAGCTCGTTACGTTGAGCTTCTTTCTAGTAATGAGGTCAGACAGGGCTAATGAAGAGAGATACCACCGGATGAGCCTCATGCAGTCCAATTCCAACCAGGAGCTGCGGTCAGGGCTGAAGCCAGGAACATTGCCCTGAATGGTTGGGCTCTATGGGGCATCCTGCCTGGCTCTGCCCCATCCTATGGCCAGGCACTGACAGTGCACCCTGCATAGCTGTGCATCCAGCTGTGAGCCCAGCAGCTCCAGCTGTGAGCACCCCACACAGTGCCCGGGCAATAGGAGGAGGTGCTGATGCTGGGGTGTTTCATTGCCTCTCTTCCTGATAGTTCGGTTTCCATGACAACAGATGATGATGTCAGATGAGAAGAAGGATGATTCCTGTGTATGCGGAAGAAGAAAGGGATCATCTCTGCAGCAGGAAACTTCTTGTTGACGTCTGGAGGGAGAAATAATCCCTCTGCCTCCCTTACAGGTGTCCTCCTGGTGCTAAATATACGTTAATAAACATGGTGCCACAGACACCAAGAAGATAAAGGGTAAGGGTGATGAAACTGACCCTAGAGGTGCTCTTTTTAAAGGTCTGAGGTTTTGGAGGAGAGAGGGGAGCGCTCACTTCTGAGTGCCTGGGGAGCAAAGCTGACCCAGCATCATGATCCCAACCCGATGGGAGATGCAGGATGGGGCTGGGCTGAGGGCAGCCGTTCTTCTCTGTGGCCCCACAGCCCTTCCTTGCAGTACTACCAGGATGAAGAGGTATGGGAGAAAATCGCAGGGGGAGCAGCTTTGGGCTGTGCAGAAATGAGTGTGAGTGCAGCACAACAGTGAGCAGTGGTGCAGGGAGATGCAGTGTTCAGTGAGTCATGCTCACCGTCAGGAGACAGGAGGGCAGAACACGGGCTCACACATTCAGGTGTGAATTGGAGAAGTCACCTGGGATGGATAGAGCACTTTCCTCAGCTGCTCTCGGTGCATGTTTACAAATACGGCCTGAAAAGCGCCTAACAATATAATCTGCAAATCCCAATATCAGCACTGGCTCAGAGCACCAGGCCCAGCAGAACACCCCACGTGATGAAGCAGAACGCTTTTCCATTCAGGAAACTGCAGTCCTTCAAAGGCACTGTGCAGATTTACGTGTCTAATACCCCCACAATGCAGCCTGCAGGCATAAGCTCTGCATTATCTTAGGAGATTAGCAAAATACTATATTGTGTCACGTATGTGTTGCAGAGAAGCACCCATGGTGATAAGTGCACGAGCCATTCAGGGATCTAATACAACGTGGAGCTCCCACACACGCACTGTGCTGAGGTTTCAGGTATTCTCCTTGCCCAGCTGGTACCCACATTTGGATTCCATTCCAGTTCCTCCCAGCAGGCTTCCGTTAGAAGACACTGAATCTCTTTGTAGGAACTTTCCGTGATTAAATTACCTGTCTGCTTTCATTATGAGCGTTTCAATGAGGGTGGCTCTCGTGATGAAATGCTTGTGCCAGAAAACAGTTCAGTATTCCATGGCTGCAGGGACTGATTCCCCATTCTGGATGCAAGGTCACCCATTGGGTTGGTTGGGTGGCAGATCCCAAATCCTCTCCATATGCCACAGCCTGGAGGAGCTCTGAGCAGGGAGGACCCGGGTAACTACAGGCCGGTGAGTCTCACCTCCGTGCCTGGGAA